GGGCTGGCATTTCATTAACTCCACACTTTTGGGGTCCCAAATTAACCCAAAAGGGAGAATTTCGGAGCTGGGGGAGGGAAGGGAACTCCTTGGTGTGGTTGTGAGTTTTGGCTACACCTTCCTAACAACACCACCCCTTTATTTGCTCCCAAAACCCTGAATCCAGAACGGGAATTCTGTAATAACGTCAGAATCTGGAGATTTGGGTGGGACAAATCCCTGAGGCTCTTTGCCCAAAATTCCCTCCAACTTTGGCTTCACCCAGCAAGACCCAACTCCAACATCTGCCCTGGGGAGGAAACCCAAGGAGAAAAACACCCCCAAATTCCTTTTTTTGAGCACAAGGACCAACTGCGGCCAACAGGAAGCTCAAGAACCTCCTCCCTCCCCTTCCTGCTGACAAAACATGAAAAAAAAAATAATATATATCCAGAGTTTGGAGGGAGTTTTTTTATTTGAAAGTCATTGAGCAGCTTCATGAGTTGCCAGCACAAACGCCAACGCACCGAGCGTCACCTACAAGACTCAGCCCAGCCTGGAACAATTATGAAATTCAGCCAAATCTTGCATAGAAGTGGTCGACTTATTGCACATTGGAACCCAAAAATAGACACTTTTTGCTGCTGCAAATACCACTTGCAATAAAGCTTTTGTTAAAATCTATTTTGAGGGGGTTTAGGTTCTCGTTTGGAATTTTTTTGTTGTTGTTGTGGTTTTATTTTTATTTTTTTTTCCTTTGGGGGACATTTCCTGGCTATCTAAAATCTAAGGACAACAGAAAAATCTTAAAAAAATAAAAATAACCATGGACAATGGCATAAGCCAGAAGCCATTCTATAATTTTTTTTTTTAGTTCTTTGTATTTACAAAAAGGCATGCCAATAAAATAAAATGATATATTACAGTATTTATAATATTCTCTTAAAAAGTTCAACCACACTTTTCAGCTATTTTTTTTTTCCTTTTTTTTGTGTTTTTTTTTTTTGTGCTGTTTACAACGTAGCCTGTACATATGTATGTAGATTTTTGTTGTCGTTGTTTCTTTGTGATTATTTTGATTGTTTTACATCCTGGGAGCAAGGGGGGCAGGACAGGTCCCTGCAGTGGGGCAGAGCTGCCCCGAGGATGCCAAGGTGGCACGGATGGCAGCTGGATGGCTTCCTGCTCGGGTTTGGGGTATTTTGGGCGATTCCTGGCGTTTTCTGGGTTTATGCAAACTGGGATTCATCCTCCCATCGAGCTCTGCTGTACTGGGGTGGCTTTGTCCCCCCTGCTCTGGGTACCCTCCTTTGGGATGTCACCCCTGCAGGGACCACTGGGGTCCCCTCCCGGTGCCACCACCGGTGCTGAGGGGACACCCCAACCTGAGCGGGGCTGGGCTGGGACACCCCGAGAGGGGAGGAAACAGAAAACAGCCCGGCCATGGCTCGAGATGCTCCTTGTGCTGCAGCGAGACGGCCCAGGGTACCAACAGGTACCCCCAGAGTACCCCCAGGTACCCCCAGGTACCCCCAGAGGAACCTCCAGGTACCCCCAGGTGCCCCCAGGTGCCCCCAGGTACCCCC